AAGGTGATCTTTTTCTAGTGCTGTTTTGCCCACGATTTATTGTAAGATAAATGTGATCTGCAAGAAGACTTGCAGACAGGACAGGTGCTTACCCCTGGGGAGGTGGGAAGGACGTGGGATTTGGGGGAGTGAAGAGAGACCTGTACTTTTAACCTGTGTGTGTGTGTGTGTGTGTGTGTGTGTGTGTTTGCACTTAGTTGTTCAGTCAAGTTCAACTCTTGGCAACCCTTCAGGCTCCTCTGGCCACGGGATTTCCCAGGCAAGGATACTAGAGTCGGTTGCCATTTCCTTCTCTGGGGGATCTTCCCGACCCAGGGATCAAACCTGGGTATCCTGTGTCTCCTGAATTGCAGGCGGATTCTTTACCTGCTGAGCCAACGACTTGTTTTCCTCATCTCTTTCCCAAAGAGTCTTTTGAGATGTTTTTCCTAATTGCCTCCTGCTGCTGCTAAGTCACGTCAGTCGTGTCCGACTCTGTGCAACCCCACAGATGGCAGCCCACCAGGCTCCCCCAACCCTGGGATTCTCCAGGCAAGAACACTGGAGTGGGTTGCCATTTCCTCCTCCAATGCATGAAAGTGAAAAGTGAAAGTGAAGTCGCTCTGTCGTGTCCAACTCTTCGCAACCCCATGGACTGTAGCCTACCAGGCTTCTCCGTCCATGGGATTTCCCAGGCAAGAGTACTGGAGTGGGGTGCCATTGCCTTCTCCTAACCTCCCCCAAATTTAATACAAAGGAACAGAGTTGGTTGGGGGAGGGTCACAAATGATTGTAATATCTAAGAGAATGCATTGCTCTACATAATTTTTTTAAACAAGTTATTTTAGAAGTCCAAAAGAAAGCTCACATAACTGGAGGACCGCGCTGTCTTTGAACTGTAGGGTGACTCCACACTGGAGCTCTTGGCTGCTCTGTGGAGAGCGTGGGAAGGAGCAGGGGCTGGAGCCACCGTGGGCCTGGGCCCTGGCTCAGAAGCACTGTAACAGGAGGATGGTCTATGCCATCAAATGCCCTGGAGGCTTTTTCCCAGTCTTCATTTCTGCTTTTTGATTTTATTTGGCAAGGTGGGGGTGTTTGGTGAGCTTTTGAGAGAAGCCTCCAACAGGTGTTCTCTGCAATTGTAGGAAAGTCATTTGCAAGAGTGTCTTGGTGTTAGAAGAGTTGGTAGGCCCCGCTATAGAGAATTCCTGGGTGTTTGGGGAAGGAGGCAGGGCCATATAAGGGACCAGGGACTGCTGTGGACTTGAAAGGATCAGGCAGAAATTCTGAAAGCTGCTTAGGAAGGTCAAATAAAATAAATCTTAAAGACTAGTACAGAAGTGAATGTTTATAAACAACTTAGAGAAGTGATTTTTAAACAGACTAAAGTGAAGTTTCCATAGGTATTAATGAGATAAGATTAAGTAATTTTTAAAGGTAACTTTTTTGGTGCAAGGGAAAAGAATGTCATCATTTGCTTACTGCCTGATGTTTAGAAATGAAAGGTTTTTAGATAAAAAATAGTAAGTAAATTTTATTGGCCGAAGCCTACTTTTTATTTTTAATTGCTCTCAGTCCCTTGATTTTAAAAGATGTGTATAACAAAAAATAAATAAAAGATATGTATAACAGTTTAAAAATAACCTGTGTAGTTAAACAATATAATTACATTAGTTTGAGGTGTATTCTAGTATACTTTTAAAGGAAATTTATGATTTTTGCATCCAGTGGAACAGACCTGCAGGCTAGAAGCTAAGAGACAAATTGAAATAGATTTTTCTCCCTAGATGATTTCATAAATTTTTTATTGTAAACTTAAAAAGTGCACACTCTTAAGTCTTGAACTCTATTTAAAGCTGACATGACTGCAGAAAGCAGTCACTTATTAGCAGTATTTGGGCAGAAAAATCCTTGCTACTCCTTCACTTAAAGGAAAACTCTTAAGTGAAAACCAATTGTTACATGATGTGGAAACATACCTAGTTTTCATTTTTAGTATATCACTTGGGGTGTTGAGCTTTGCATATATGAGCTTACGAATTTTTTCTTCACATGTGCTATTATTACATTAACTCTCTGTCTCAGAGACAGTCAGCAAATGGTCTAGTAACTAGACCCCACCTGTAACTAGTCAGAGTGAGGGTTTGAACCCAGGTCCCTCTAAGTCCAGTCCTTGATTTTTCTCTCATGACTCTCTTGATAAGAACAGTGAACAGAGGAGATAAAAATTTCTCTCGGGTGTTCCTTCTGGGATATTTCATGTTACATCTATAATCACTGTGGTTTGGAGCATGGCACCAAACCTGTCAGAAACATTTTGAACACAGGATATGTAAATATGATTTTATGTTTGTTTGGTTGAACATACCAAATGAACATACTGATTTGGTTAAGAATTACCACCACCACCCCACAAGAAAAACGAAACCTCTCCAACATAACTTCCATCTCTACAATTGAAAATATGAAGAGAGAGAATTTCTTTTTAGATTTTATTTTGGAGTACATATAGTTAACAATATTGTTAGTTTCACTTGTATGGCAAAGCGATTCAGTTATATCAGTATGTGTATCTATTCATTTTCACATAAGAGAAAGAATTTCTTTACAATTTTTGCTGATTAACCAAATTATTTAACAGAGAGCTTAGCGTGGGAGCAGACCTGGTTCACTTATTCAGCCTTCCTGTTGTATAGACAGGAAATGGTTCGGAAGTGAGATGAACCAGTGGTCCCTCGCAAAATGGGTAGAACCAGGCTTTAGCCAAGGTAGAGCCCCTCCTAGCCTAGGATATTGTGTTTCTTTGATTCATTGAAATGCCTCTCCCAGTTGAGAGTGCTTTGCTTTTGAAAAAAATTCAACTCACTCTTAGATATTGTCTGTCATAGCTATGCTTACGGAGTACTACTTTCTACTTTTCTTCTTTGCTTGTCCTTTTCCATCCATTTTCCCTTTACTCCCCAATTTATATATAGACAGAACTTCTTTTCTAGCCACCTAGAACCGGGTTTCAGTGTGAAAAATAGTCAAGTCTTAAAATTTTTTTAATTTGTTGTTTATTCCATTTTCTAAATGTGTCATGCATAAATAGGTATATTTGGTATGTTGGAGGAGATGCATTATCCAGGAATATTTGTCTGAGGTATATATAGTAGGGGATGGTGCCTTCTTCACACCAGAGGCTGTGTGTTCCTGTGGCAGAACCTTCGAGCATCACTACCTCCTTCTCCCTGTTCACACATTTAGATGCCCATGTAACTCAGACTGGCAGGAAGCCAGAATAGATAGATGTGTGATTTTGGGGGGTTGGGGGTCCTCATGCAGGAAGTTAACACAGTGTTGTGCCTGAACTATCTCATATAAACTAATCCCCAAGCCAGACATTAATCCAGGAAACTGCACAGTGTTACCTTAACATGAAAATATAAACTCACTGAATTTCCATTTTTGATGGCTGGTTAAGTAAATCTACAGCTTAAGTTACTATTTTGTCAAATATTTTGTTGAGCTCTTTCTCTAATTTGGGGAGCAATGCAGATGATAAGGACTGCTGTCTCAACATGTGTGCGTGCTAAGTAGCTTCAGTCGTGTCTGACTCTTTTGTGACCCTGTGGACGGTAGCCCATCAGGCTCCTCTATCCATGGGATTCTCCAGTCAAGGATACTGGCATGGGTTACCATGCCCTTCTCCAGGGGGATTATGTCTCCTGCATTGACACTAGCGCCACCTGGGGAGCCCCTGTCTTCTTAAAGGACACAGTAATTACTGGAGCAGAAGCCCCAGCCTTGGTGGGGGAGAGGGGAAAGTTTTCCTCTGTGTCTGAGACAGACTGGAACTTGAAGGGCCTCTCCATGACAAAAATGTCATCATGCCATCTCATTTGTTTCAGTCATATGTTATAGAAGCAAACATTTCTACCAGTTCTTTCCATTTCCATCAGTGCTGCAGCTCAGTCCCAAGCTTACTGTGATGCCATCCCCCCGGGCATTGTCTGTGTGTTGGTGGCGCTTTCACCTGTGCTAATGAGCAGAAAAATGACATGATCCTTCCTTCTTCCCAGCTGTGTTCTTCTTAATAACTCCGTCTGACCAGCCTGTTTAAGGACTGACCCTGGGATAAGGAACAGCTTAAGAACTTGAGCATGTGATCTTTAACAATATTTATATTTTATTATTATATTTTGTAATTGAGGCTTATGGTTTTATTATGAAGGGATCTTTTAAAACCTGTTCTTAGCAGGTATTTTTTAGCATGTATGATAGTAAAGCAGATATCTGTGTTGGTAATGTTGCATTTATTGTTGAATTCTCTAAGTAAAGAGTTAGCTTTTCTTTTACTTATTAAATGGTTGGGTGTTGGAGGCAGTGCTGGGTACTAAGAGTCCAAAAGTGAATTAAATGCTTTTCCTTCCTGTGAGGAGTCTAATATGATACAGACTATGCATAAGCAGAATTTCAATATTCTAGTGTATGTACAATAATTATTATGAGGAAGGTGTGTGTATATGCGTAGGGTGCTGTGTATTTGGCCAAATAAAAGACACAGAAACACCCAAACTTTCTAGGCAACAAAACTATTAGACTGGTAGGTACTGGCCAGTTGCAATACCGTGTAAAATAGTTGCATGTTTCAGAATCCTGCCACTCTTACTCTCTCACTTAATGTGGTAGCTGATGACTTAATCTTCAACATTTAGTGTTGCTGGTGCCATATTGAAATACACTGTTAGCCTGTCACTTCCTGTGTGTCATGAATGGGAATCTGTTTTATCTTGATCCATATCTTCTCCCTCTCAGTCCCAGCTTCCCTCCATGTGTTGTTCATCGTTTTGTATGACACCTCCTTAATCACAGAAGTTTTATTAGTTACTGAAGCTCAGATGGTTAGGTTTGTCAGTGAGTGCCAGTGAAGGTAATTTACTGCAGGTCACAGTTATGGTCTGAATGAATAATTAAGAAGAAGCCAGCAGCTTTGGGTGCTTCAGTGTGAAACTTCTAAAGTTAGTTAACTTGTATTTCAGATTGCTTCCAAGTATGATCATCAGGCAGAAGAAGATCTCCGCAATTGGATAGAAGAGGTGACAGGCATGAGCATTGGCGCCAACTTCCAGCTGGGCCTGAAAGACGGCATTATCCTCTGCGAGTAAGTCTTGGTCCCGACTTCTCTTCCAGTCCTCCCTGTGACCTCTGTCGTGCCCTCTTTCCCAGTACAGGGTGTCAAACCTTGATATCCTGCAAATGTTTTTAATGCTTTCCTTTACTGATGTTAAAAGAACCAACTTTACATTCCAGTCCTTGTTTGTTATTCCAATAAGCATGCTGTCACTTAATGCTTTTCTTTTCAGACTCATAAACAAGCTACAGCCAGGCTCAGTGAAGAAGGTCAATGAGTCCTCATTAAACTGGCCTCAGGTAACAGCCAGACAGCAACCCTGACACTAGCTGGTTACTCTCTATGCAGCAAGAACTTGATTATAGTTTTTAAATAGACAATTGAGCAGAAATCTGTGCATATGACTATATTTAGTTTTCTTATAGTGCTACTTTTTTAAGTGTTCCCATAATTACTTGGAATTAGTTCTGTGACTCTTAGATGTTGAGCTTAGATGTTTTTTTATTCTGTATTTAGTCTGTGTACTCTCAGGAGTTGACACAGCTTACACAGAGAAATACAACCTAGACCACAGGATGAATAAGGGAAAAATCAAGGAATTTAACATAACCAAGGGTTGACTATAGAACATGGTATTAACTGTAGTCTTAGTTTATGAATGTGTATGATTAAGTAAAATTGAATCTTTTGTCTTGAGCATGTTTTGAGATATAAGAATAAACATTCAGTAACCACACATTTTTTAAAATTAAAATTTAAACATAATAAATTGTGCATTAATGTAATTTTTTACCATTTGAGAAAGAAAATTCCAGTCTTGGAAAGCTCAGACACTGAATTCTTTAAAACATGTAAGAAAGGTCTTGACTTTAAAGAAAAAACCTGACTGCTTAAAAAAGACCATTATGTAATCCACTTGAAATACTCTTTCCCTTTTTCTAAGAGAGCTACGCTTACTATGTATCTGGTCAAGAATCCTTGCCTAGTAGCTTTCTGCCTTGCATCTTGTATTTAGTCATAAAGACTTAGAATTCCCAGATAATATGCATGTCAGTGTTTAGCTCCAAAAGTTTTACGCTTTTTTTTTTTTTTAATAGTTGGAGAATATCGGCAACTTTATTAAAGCTATTCAGGCTTATGGCATGAAGCCACATGACATATTTGAAGCAAATGATCTTTTTGAGAATGGCAACATGACCCAGGTTCAGACTACGCTGGTGGCCCTAGCAGGTCTGGTACGTATATGTCTTTAATGGCTGGTAAAAAAATCCCTGCTACATTAGTGATTAATTGCGTATATGTCTTTAATGGCTGGTTAAAAAAAAATCCCTGCCACATTGGTGATTAATTGCGTCTTTGCCCTCATGGGAATTCAGGCTAGGCAGGGAGAAGCCTGTCTCTCTGGTAATTATTAGCTTTGGAGAAAGGCTGCTGACATCAACTGCCTCATACTGGATAGCTTAATTAGAGTACTCACGTTTCAGAGGTCTCTAGTGTAGTTTGAATGGCCTTAGATATTATTTTCACCGCAAGTTTGGGTCTTACCGAATGAAACCTTTATCTGTGGACCACATAATTTCTTTGCTGTTCCTTCTGTAAAACTGTTGGCGAAATCTCTGTGTAAGTGTTCCTTTTCAGCTAGTGTGCATATTTCTGTGTAGGCCAAAACAAAAGGATTCCATACAACCATTGACATTGGAGTTAAGTATGCAGAAAAACAAACAAGACGTTTTGATGAAGGAAAATTAAAAGCTGGCCAGAGTGTAATTGGTTTGCAGGTAAGTAATGTGGTATTGGGGCTTCCCTGCTGGCTTCAGTGGTAAAGAATCCGCCTGTCAATGCAGGAGATTTGGGATCGATCCCTGGATCAAGAAGATCCCCTGGAGAAGGAAATGGCAACCCACTCCAGTATTCTTGCCTGGAGAATTCCATGGACAGAGGAGCCTGGCGGGCTAGAGTCCATGGTGTTGCAAAAGAGTTGGAGCTGACTTAGTGACTAAACAACAATGATGTGGTACTGCTTATTATTTTTCACCATCCAAAGTGTCTCTTATAAGGAATAGATACATACATTTTGCAATGGATATGCGGCTTATACAATTTATCTCCATTTAAAGTCCATTAGACGATGATGGTTTTAGGAGAAACCTCAGACATGCCCTCTGACTTGGTAATTGTTTCTCCAGGAAATGTTTTTTAGTCCTAATTACATTGTCCTAGTTTCCAAGAAAACATATTTTATAAATTCCTAAATGTTATTGACCAAATGAAGCAATTTTACAAACCTCAAAGCCAGTCATTTATTTACCCTAAAGCATGGTTTGTCAGTCCTGGGGAGTTCTTCATTCAGGTATTTTTTTCCTTTATGTTCTCTTGGAGAATGACACAAAAACACCACTGCTAAATGCCTAGTATGCTAAGGGCTTTACTATCTGATCCTTTTGGATACAATGCCTCTCTGTTGATTGAGTCAAATGAGGTGGATCTGTTCATTAATTTCAGCTTTATTGGAGTATAATTGACATATGAATTTGTTTTTTACACACTGATGGTGAGAGATTACAAATACGAATTTCCAGTAATCAATTATTTAAATTATGATAACTGATTACTCAAAATATGATAACTCCATAAATGGAACTAGTAATGAAAAAATGATAATACAAGAGTTCAAGATTAAGGAAAACAAATCAGGATTATAAAATACTGTAGTCATTGTGATCCCAGTTTTAGTTTTAAAATGCACGTGCATATTTTTGTATGTATGTGTGTGTGTTTATAGGTATATGTATCTGGATATATACACAGAAAAAAGGTAAGACTAAGCGGTAATACACAAGTGAATGTCTAAATGTTAGAACTATAGTGATGTCCCCCCCTTTTTGCTTATATTTATTTTCTCCAATAAACAGGTTTGACTTGTAATAATACAATTTTCCTCTAATAGATCTTTGTTTTTAAGGACAAAAGACCAACAGTAGAAATGTGTCCCCAACTAGAACAGGGTATGCTGGTTAGCCCTGAAGCCATGTCACTCACAGTGGAGAAGAAAAGTTAATTTTCTCTCAACGTGGTTGAATTTAAATTCTTCATTCTGCCTCTCTATGTCTAATAATATGAGAATTGGAGATATAAAATGTAGCTTTTTTCCCCTAAAAATGTTGATTTTAATGAAACTTAAGCCCTTGCTAAAAGCTGCCAGACAAGACACCTGGCATTTGCGATCACATTTTATACAGAACACATCTGGAGTAGGAAAGCATGTTGTTGAGCCAGAGGTGGTTCTGTCCCTTTGAGTGGCTGAAGCAGGTACCCCTTAATTTGGTTACCTGTGCTGCAGAGTGTGGGGGAAGAGTAGCATAGGGAATTATTCATAATTCTGCCATTGTCCTAATTTTGTGTGTCTGTCCTTCTCTTCCTATGTGCACATTTTTATCTGATTATGTTGTGAGGTTTTATATCCAATGAAGTCTTCGAAATTTTTCTTTTGCAAATGAGCACCTTAAATTTATTTGTAAAAGCATAAAGGTTTTGTATTTAGTTAATGGCAACCTCAGCTCTAGAGGGGACTTGTCAATGGCGTCCCTTCTAAGAAAGCTTTTTTAGCAGAACAGAAAGTTTGGTTGTGTCAGATAGATTGTTGACTTCTGATAATTAGTGATTTTACTTTTAACTTAAAAGATGGGAACCAACAAATGCGCCAGCCAAGCAGGTATGACGGCCTATGGGACGAGGAGGCACCTTTATGATCCCAAAATGCAAACTGACAAACCTTTTGATCAGACCACAATTAGCCTGCAAATGGGCACCAACAAAGGCGCCAGCCAGGTAAGCGACACCTTGTTTATACTTGTTTCAGAGAGCACAAAAGAGCCATTTAAATTCACACTTAACTTTCTTATTAACCGAGTTCAAAGTGGTTATTTTTGTGCGATATATATAGAGTAATACTCCTTGAGGAAAGTAAGACTTGCTGAGAAAGCAAAAGGATCACAGGGCCTTTTCTGTAGCCACACAAGTACTGTGTGGCCCATGGCTGTTATTGGCAGTAAGAACAGCTGGCCTTTCTACTGAACCAGAAGAAAAAGATACTTTTATTACAGTGTTCTTGCTCCAAATCCAAGTGAATTGCTCTGACTTTTTTATTTATTTCTAATGCTTCTGACTTAGTTTTAAAGGAGCCCTCAACAAACTTGGCAGGTAAAATTATCTGGCGTTTTACAAAGAACTCTAGCTAGCAGCCTGGTAAATGTGTGAATAAGTGGATGGAAATCAGCACAAGGAGAATGCTACTAATAGTATTCTAACACTATGCACGATGGAAGTATTTCCTGTGAAAAACAGACCACCAGTGCCTCGCAAGGAGGTGTACCCATGACTACATCAGAGCAGGACACGTCTCATATCCAACAGGAGTGGGGATAAGGTTTGAGAAAGCGTCTTGTCATGACCTCATGAGGCGTGTTGTTGTTGCCCTTTATGGAACTTGTCCTGTCACGTGGGCTCTGTCTCGGAGCTGGCACTCAGGTATTTTTTACCGATTGAATCTGAAGCATGTGCCTAGCATAAATGAAGAGACAGGTGAGTTACCGGCCGGTGAAAAGGCAGGGAGCAGATGTGGTGGAGGCTCTTTGGTGCCTCAGGGCCTCGAGTTCTTAAGGACCGCTCAGAGTGAGATGTTTTTTTAAGTTATAATATTTTGAGAAAGATCTTTATTTGCTTTACACAGCGGTAAAAACTTTATGTTATACATTGTGTACGTGTGTGCTCAGTTGTGTCTTGACTCTTTGCGACCCCATGGACTATATAGCCCACTCTTCTATCCATGGAATTCTCCAGGCAAGAATACTGGAGTGGGTTGCCATTTCCTATTCCATCAGTGTGATTTTTGTTAAATGTATTACAGACTTTTGAAATTGGTAACCTGGATAGCATGTATGGTCATAGTAGGCATTCAGGTATAACTTTCTGGTATGCCAGCATTATGCCTTGTTTTTCTATTCTTTGTGTTCAATCTTCTCCCTAATCCAAAGTAGGTGGTATTGTCTCCATCTTGTACATGAGAAACCTAAAACTGAAAGTAAATTAACTTGTCAGAGGCCACAGAGCAATGTTATAGCAGAGCAAGGACTTGAAGGGAAGGGCTGACCTAGCTTGAAAGTCAATGAATATTACTTTGTAAGAGAGATTACAGCATCAAGATATTTTGGTAAGCTAGCTTTACCCCTGAATGGAATGAAAGTTATTAGTGTTCACGTTCAATGTGCATTTCATAATTTAGAGACTATTCACAGGAAAAGATTTTAGCTGCTGTTTTAACTTTTCTACGTTTTAATACTAGGCGGGAATGTTAGCACCGGGTACCCGAAGAGACATCTACGATCAGAAGCTAACATTACAACCCGTGGACAACTCGACGATTTCCCTACAGATGGGTACCAACAAAGTCGCTTCCCAGAAAGGAATGAGTGTATATGGGCTTGGGCGGCAAGTGTATGATCCCAAATACTGTGCTGCTCCCACAGAACCTGTCATTCACAATGGAAGCCAAGGCACAGGAACCAATGGGTCAGAAATCAGTGATAGTGATTATCAGGCAGAATACCCAGATGAATATCATGGCGAGTACCAAGATGACTACCCCAGAGATTACCAGTATGGTGACCAAGGCATTGATTATTAGATTCACAGAGGAGCTCAGTATTTAGCCCATTGTTTTTATTCAGTGAGAACCAAGCTAGCCTTGAGTAATTTTTATCTTGTCTTCCTAAAACACTATTATGCTTATTGTACCTAAAGGAACTATTGCCTTACATACATTCCTTTTTCCTTTTTCTGCCTCTTCCCTAAATAGTTGCCTTTTAGTGCTGTGAAAGTTAAATCCTACAGCATAACCAATAACTCACATATGAAGTAAAAAGGAATACTGTGAAAGGGGAGTACTCTTGTACAGTCAATTCTTTCATTAAAAATCTATGCATTTTTACAGTCCTCTACTTAAACTGGTATTTTCAAACAATAGGAAGCTATTTTTTTTTTTTTTTACAGTTTAGTATCTTGTTTCTACATGGAAGACTAAACATGCTTATAGTTAAATGTGGTCTTTGCCAACTAAATTTAAGATGCAGCGTTTTAGAAATTTACATATCAATGTTTCTACAGTATTGTTTGCTAATTTTTAAATAAAGTCCTGATCAGTGTGCATTTGTGATTATATGTGTACTTATTTTTTACCTAAGCCGACGAGATCTTTTCCGAGTGGTGTTTCAAAAGGAGCATGTACAAAACTGGCCTGCAGACATCAGAGTCTGGGGGTGCCTTTGCTTTTCCTGTTTGTGCCAATGTATCGATGTAGAATTGCTCTGTTTTCTTCCACTGTATTTATTGCTGCATTTCTCAGCATAAACCTATCCCATTGTATTTTTTATAAATAAATATTTTTTTTGAACATTCATACGAGCCACAGGCTGATTATTTTTCTGGCTAACTTCAGATGGGTAGAGTCAGGCTTTTTTTTTAAAGTATTCTTTCCCAGGTATTGTTACAAGATACTTTAACATTTCTTTACTGAATCTACACACCATTACACTGGGACTGAATGCTCTAGATGAAGCTTAGAAAAATGAAGGGACCTGCCCATTGCTCACAGGAAATGCCAGCCAGGATTCAAACTATCATTTGACCCTTTGCTTATTCCATTGTGCTTCAGCTGCCTCTACCTCATTCTAAATCCAATTTGGAATAATCTTAAAATCATCTTGGGAAACATTGGGGATGGGGTGGGGTGATTTTATGTCATAGTCTAGGGTGAATAGATACTAAGAAACGTCTGGATCAGGAATAGGACATGCTATCTGAGAACAGATGAGAATTTATAGTAAGTGTTAGCAAAAACCTAACCTTCAGTTATGACATGGAGGAGGTCGAACATCTAAGTGTTGTAATGATAAAAAAAAATCCAATCATGAAGAGACAAGTGGTTAACATACTTTTGGATGTTTTCTCACACAAGTGATATCCTCCGATAGCACTGGCTCTCTTAGGCCTTGGGGGTGAAACGTGCCTGCTTGTTTTTCTCTGAGGCAGATAATGAGGACATGGTGTGTTTGTATCCATAAAAGAAGCACAGTTGACTTGCTCATCACACAACAATGACTTAGTTTAACACTTCAGAGAAACTGCTCTGTAAATCCTTTTCTTAAAAGGAGACGAGTTCAACTAATTCAATGGTACTGTTTAAGAGAAAAATTGTAATTTGCATCTGTTATAGGAGACCTGAGCCGGCATACAGTTTTCTGCCCTCTGTGAAGAAGAGGGAAACATATTCACTGTTTGCCCTGCCAAATAAGCCAGACTGGGTGTCCTGTTAGGAGAGTGGGTGATTTTGTTTACCTGTTCATCTAGTTGAAGCAAGGCTGCCAATTACCATGTTAGATATTCCTATTTGTTGAAAGCTTTAAAAAGGAAAAACAGTCCAAGGACACCCCTCCCCCCATTTCTCTGACCCACCAATGAATCTAAATCTGGGAATGGGGTCCAGGCAGAAGAACTTGAAATCTTCCTCTAGGCAGTTCTCAGGTGGGGCCGTGCTTGAAAACCACTTACGCAGAACGTTTGCTAATTTCTACAAGGTAGCCTTGTACTTTGAACAAAATTTAACTTCACATCTGATTAAACGTGTGCCTATTCTATGCCATGCCCATCAGGTGGTAGTTCCAGTTACACTTTCGATTTTAATTGTCCCTAAATTGAAGAATTGTACTTTGAAAAGCTGTAACATAAATAGCTCATTTCCAGGAGTGGAGGATTAGGTAGGAAAAAGTTCTCTGTAGTAGGGCAATATTCCACAGATTTCTGCTAAGGTTTATTGATTGTGAATGAGGAAGTCCTTTTCAGGGTGCCCTGAAATGAGTTTTTGCATAATGTGCTTTTTTAAAAATTGACTGCATAAACAAGGTCTTAAAAGATTTTTCAGTCTCATTTGGTACAAAAAAGGTTGCATACTTTTTCTGTGGTTCTAGTATTGTAACGTGGTCAAACAATGGGGACAAAAACAGTGGTGAAGAACTGGGGCCACATTGGGCCTTATCGTTTATTCTGCACACAGCTCTTAGGAGAAGGGAACTTTTTCAGGTGCAAATACCTGATGGGCACTTATCTCACAATGGCCGGAGTTCTGTTCCCTCTTCGCTTGTTAATGAGCTCTTGTCTCTCTGTGCCCTTGTGTTTAATTTGTTGATCCTTTTTACAAAATTCTGAAAAATAAAAGAATGAGTTAGACTAGTGTTCTGTATCCACACTGATGGGCAGTCATTTACTTGGCCATATCATTTCGGGGAATTTAATCCTTAAAGTTTTCCCTGTTGAACTAAAATATCTTGAATAAAAATATCTTCAAAGTGGGTTTTTAATCAAAAAAGTGTAAATTGTAGAAAGAGACCTAGTTAACTTCCTAATACCATACATAAGAACAACCATAAGAAACATATTCTTTGGAATACATACCAAATATGTTAAAGTGTTATCGTATTTTTATGTTCTGTTGGGAGGATGAAGATTTATTTATAAAACTATAGATGTGCTTTTAAACTTCAGTGCCTGGCTGGACTAAGGAGTGCTTTGCATTCTCTGTTTCAAAGCAGAAGGGCCTTAATGCCTAGATTTTATGGTAATGGAGTGAAAGAAAATTGTTAAAATGTTACTTGATAGAGACAAAGGAAAGAGATGAGAAGATTCATTCAGCTGTTAAAATATCCCTGTCTACACAGGATAAGGCAAATATGCAACAACTGTGTTGCAAAAGCTGTTGGGAGCAGCTGCCTGCTATTTCCAGATAGCAGGAGGGGGGCTCTACTGAGGGTGTGGCTTTTCTCAATCTTGTGCCCTGGTTAACAAGGGGCCTCAGAATCACAGATCTGTCAATAGTGGCCTTGAAAGTGATTGGTCTCCATTGGAGTAGGCGTTCCCTAAAATACAACTGGTATGACATGATATTTGGGGATGCAAAAATGCCTTAGAAAAAAGATCAACTGTGAAAGCTCCGGACCATACAAAAGGCCCAAATAAGCCATTAAAACCATTAGGGACTTGGATGGCTACTGCACCCAGAATACCTTCTACCCTGGGTCATTTGCTAAGTGTTCATTGTTCAGCTTCACGTCTCTCCAGGAAGAAGGTTTCAATAAGGGAGGTGGGATCAGCCTCAGAAAATAAAACACAAATCTTACTCTCAGGACATCTGGGTCTTGGGACATCAGGCTCACAGAACCTGCCCACCCGGGAGAGAAAATAAGCTGGGGACCAGCCTCCTTTAAGGGCATGTCTTCAACTTTTGAGATTATGAGGATGGAGGTTGAAAAAGGAAATGAGATGTTTACTTACCAAAAACTCATGGTCCATAAAGTAGGGCTTTTCTGAGGATCCATCATTTGTTTCCAGATCAACAGCAAAACACAGGAAAAGTGCATCCAGCACAGTTTCAAACACAGATAAAAAACTGTGGGCTACTAAGTAGGCAAAAAAAGCAACCAAGAGCAGTGGGATTGCCCACACCTGAAGCACACGGTGGTAGTTAAATGCCATCAGTCCTCCAAAAACTGTGAAACACACCACTAACACCTGTCCAAAACAAGAGTTCATTGAAAATTTCTATAAATTGGTTAGGATACTTTAGAAAAGATTTTTGTCAGGTATAAGCAATAGTTTGATATATGTGCATATGTGGGGGTGTATATGCCTTACTATAATGAGTACTTGTCAGAAAACTGGATACAGTAATATAGGAAGAAGAAAAAATGAAAAGCTATGATGATACCAAAAGAAAACCCAGTTAATTTGGAGAATGGGAAGAATATATATACTTTCATTTTATCTGTGCCTAATTTTTTTTATTTATGTAGATATAATGGTACCTCAGGGCTTCCCTGGTGGCTCAGTGGTAAAGAATCCATCTGACATTGCAGGAGATGCAGTTTTGATTCCTGGGTTGGGAAGATCCCCTGGAGAAGGCCACCCACTCCAGTATTCTAGCCTGCAGAATTCCCATGGACAGAGGAGCCTGGCAGGCTACAGTCCATGGGGTCACAAAACAGTCGGACTCAACTGAGCAACTAACCAACAATGGTACTTCACAAAATTTTTAGTCTTTTTTTACTAAAAGCTACAATAAGCATTTTCATTAGAAAAGTTTTTTTTATACATCCTTATTTTTTTAAAAAATGATGCATCAATCCATTGAGTGGATGTACTGTAGTTTAACGTGCGATTACTTTTATCCTGGGGATTAAAGTGGATGGGCTTTCTAGTGCTGGTGTAGGGATAATAGGATAATAGGCTTTTGCTATATGTAATTACTGTATTTCCAGGAAATGATTATAGGCCGTGAGGAACCTAATTCTTTACCAGACAAAATGGAACCCGCCGGACCCCTCATTGTGCTTGGATATCCATAAAGATGGATGTGAATCTGCGTGCCACTTCATTCAAAAAAAAAACCATCAGTAATTATGTGTTCCTTTTGAAAAATACAAGAAAATGAATTACTGCCTAAAATAAAACACAAGTCTTATAAAAATGAAACCTCTTAATAAAAATTTCTGGAAGTAGTTATTACAAAATGTATCACCCACAACCCTACCAAGTTAATGTAAACAATATTATCCATTTAGGTACAACTACAACTTGGATTATTAGGCTGTTTTAAAAGGCGTAATCAATTTGTGCTTCTAGAGCTACTGTCACAAGAAAAGTCTCTGAGACCCAGCTGTGCCTTAAACTATATGTGCAATTAGCACACACCTATGAAATCCAAGCATGTTCTAACTTGCTCCTGACGGCTCACCGAGACAGTGATGCACTGGAGACATACACCAAATGCCACAGGAGCACACAGTGCTAAACAGGGAGTCACGAGTCCCCATATTTGGCACTGGCACAAGTGGAGACTAGATCTCGTTCACTCGGGCTCCATGAAAGCCACCGGCGTTTGTGTCCTGTGAGGAGGCATGGCTGGAAGAAGCAAGGATGTCTAGCTTAGAAAAGTGAAGATGTGGAAGGAAGGTCAGGATGTCTGTGAAACTGTCAGGATGTCTGTGAAACTGTCTGTGAAATATCAAGAATTTGAAAGGCAGTCAGATGGAATTAGGATGAAGCAAACTGAGGTGTGCAGAATTAAGCCCAGTGAGTGACAACTACATGGAGAGACACTAGCCAGTATAAAGAACCTTCAGCCTGAGGGGCTGGAGGACTGCTGCTACTTCAGGGACTCTAACCTGCAACCCGGGAAGCGGCTGTTAGTTTTAGTTTGTAGGTAGGAAAAATGAGGTTTTCACAAGATGACATACAACTAACTCCATAGAAAAAGATGACAGCAGGAATGCAACTGGCTCCCTTTGAGATATCAATAATTCTGTATATTTAGGAAATTAATGCTCTTAGTGTAGACATTTCATCAGGCTTTAACACTATGTCCATACATATTTTTTTTTAATATTTATTTATTTATATTTATTTGGCTCTTCTGGGTCTTAGTTGTAGCATGTGGGATCTAGTTTCCTAACCAGGGATTGAACTCAGGCCTCCTTCATTGGGAGCATGGAGTCTTAGCCACTGGACCACCAGGGAAGTTCCAATTTTCATATATTTTTATGACACAGAGTCTTCATTCTAGATATGAAAAAGTGGGATCACAATGGTAGACTGGATAATAGCTAAGAGTAAAACTAAGATTTGAATCCTGACTCAACCTACTGTGGAATCCTAGCCAAATTATTAAACCCTAGTTTCTTCACCTGTGAAACAGAGATACTTCATAGGACTGATGATTAAATGAGAGGATGAGGCCCAGCACAGAGTAAGCGCTCAGGAAACCGTTCTCTGTCAAAGTCTTGTTGTATGTCTTAATTTTTGGATCCCAAGTTACTTTATTATTTCAGTTAAGACATCCTACCTTTCCTAGAAAAATTATGAAGTCTCCAAAGCAGTTAACAGATGTAAAATGACTTGAATTCTTGGATAAGAGTTTGAGCGCATCTTTTGCTGATGTACAAAAATCTGTCCCATTAATGGCAGTTGTAGTGTATGCATTCTGCAATAAAAGACAATAGTTAAAAAGATGATGAGTTTTACTGTTTTAAAGATAATACAGTGCTAGTACAGAATATTTGCAAAATAGTTACTATAAACCCACTATCTCTACCCATAAAAGTCATTTCAAAGTCACTTTCAGTCTCTGGAATATATGCACATATATTTTCACATAATTGCAGTAAATGGAAAAGAAATATTTCTGGTCAATACGGTGGATTAAATGATGAGTACTGCATAATTATCTTAATGCATAGCAGAGTTTGAGGGCAAAGAAGTTTAGGTACTAGAAACAAAGCAGACCCTACCTAATGGTGAGCATTGAACCACAAAGACTCAGAGGGCAGGGAATCAAGTAAGGGCTTTAGGAGTGAGGGGCTGGGGGTTGAATCCCTTGTGGGTAAGAAACAATGCTCAGGCCCATGCCGGGAAACTGAACTGTCTCTACAATCACAGAATTTATATTCAGTCATTCAAGGAAATTGGTCAAGAAATGCAAATTCTGCCTGGGACCCCTGAAATGCCTAGGGTCTGGGCAGAGGAAACCATATTCCCCAGGGAATGGTGGAGCTCCACAGATAACCATACTTGAAGAAGATGAAGTGTTCGCATGAAAAATTTACAGGAGACTCAAAGAAATGAACAGTGAATCAACCAAGAGAATCTGCACCTTGAGAACAATCTGAAATAAAGCATTCAAAGAAGTATGTTTAAGATGTTAAGAAGATGACAGAAGGAAGAGTAACCATAAAGAATGAACAGCATGATATGAAAAATGAAGAGGCAGAGTAGAAGACAAATGAAACAGAAATTCTAGAAGTAAAAAGATATACAATTTAAACGGTGCGATGTCATCGTTATATATCTGACTTACTTTACATAGGAAATAAGCATCTTCATGTTGCTCCTTGACTTATATTATTCTAATTTTTAATAAATACATATTATATCAGGAGTGTGTATATGCATGCACATATGTAGCTAGGACATATTTAAACTATTTCAAATATTTGCTATTATAAATAACTATGCAATGAACATCTTAATTTCATGATTTTGGATCATTTTTAAAGGATAAATTTCCAGAAACGGGATTACTAAATCAAAGAGGACAAGTGGGTGTATGTGTTCATATGAGATTTCTTGGGTCATTTTTCCAAAATACCTTTTCCTTATAACTACATGATAATTTCAAAGCCATCTATTTACATTTCCCCTGAAATCTTTAAAATGCTACCTGCACTGCCAGTTTACAATAATTTATAACTTCCTTTGGAAAATATACTGGAATGTTACCTGCTTTGGTTTTGCCTTTTCTTTTGGCTTAAAGGAAGAAAGTTTCATTTCATGATATAAAGCTAATCCTTTCAAACACCCATTCAAAAACACTGTAAAGAAACCAACTTGGAGTCTACTGCAGTGATCCAGCCCTCAGTGGTGCATGTCTTAATCAGAACAAGTTATAGAAGAGAAGGGGAGTAAGGCCATAGAATTATCTTTTATTTTTTGGCTATGTACACATTGCTATATTTAAAATGGACAAGCAACAAAGACTCACTGTATAGTATATGGAACTCCATTCAATATTATGTAACAACCCAAATGGGGAAAGATTTGAAAAAGAATAGGTTCATGTACATGCACAGGTGAATCGCCTTGATGCACACCTGAAACCTAACTCAGCCTCTCTTGGTAATTCCCTCTTCCCCACGGTCAATTAGAAAGGAATATTTGGTTCTCAAAGATGAAAGATTGGGTATTTACCTCCCCAGGGAGAGCAACCTGCCTGCCTCAGCAGGATATTCTCTGTCAGACATCAGATGAGGTCCCCGCAGAAGTGCCTTAATGGTATTCCACAAGAACTTTGGATTTCTGACTTACTGCGAATGCATGTAAAATTCACTTTTAAAATCTCAAACTGGCTGTTGGCAGACTTAAGTCCACTAGTTCGAGGACTTAAGTCTTGAGAAGTGATGTGAAAACTCATTGCTCATTATCTGATTAAGCATCTCTGATCATCTAAGGTTCTCAGAGCCCTCACCACCAACTCAATGTCCTGAAGACATATGTGCAGGGCAGGTAGGTAAATGACGGAATCAATCTTTTACAGACTGAAAACCAAGGTCAAGGGCATTGCCCCAAGTGCTCTGGAACATCAGGGAGGTTTTATTTTTTGTTTTTTTTTCATTCTAACTTTCTGGATATGACACTATCAAAAGGCTATTTTAAAAGCATAGTGCTTGGCACAAAGACAGAAATATAGATCAATGGAACAAAATAGAAAGCCCAGAGATAAATCCATGTACCTATGGACCTTATCTTCAACAAAGGAGGCAAGAATATACAATAGAAAAAAGACAACCTCTTTAACAAGTGGTGCTGGGAAAACTGGTCGACCACTTGTAAAAGAATGAAACTAGAACACTTTCTAACACCATACACAAAAATAAACTCAAAATGGATTAAAGATCTAAATGTAAGACCAGAAACTATAAAACTCCTAGAGGAGAATATAGGCAAAACACTCTCCAACATAAATCACAGCAGGATCCTCTATGACCCACATCCCAGAATATTAGAAATAAAAGCAAAAATAAACAAATGGGACCTAAAGAAACTTAAAAGCTTTTGCACAATAAAGGAAACTATAAGCAAGGTGAAAAGACAGCCTTCAGAATGGGAGAAAATAATAGCAAATGAAGAAACAGACAAAGGATTAATCTCAAAAATATACAAGCAACTCCTGCAGCTCAAGTCCAGAAAAATAAATGACCCAATCAAAAAATAGGCCAAAGATCTAAACAGACATTTCTCCAAAGAAGACATACAGATGGCTAACAAACACATGAAAAGATGCTCCACATCACTCATTATCAGAGAAATGCAAATCAGAACCTCAATGAGGTACCATTACACGCCAGTCAGAATGGCTGCTATCCAAAAGTCTACAAGCAATAAATGCTGGAGACGGTGTGGAGAAAAGGGAACCCTCTTACACTGTTGGTGGGAATGCAAACTAGTACAGCCACTATGGAGAACAGTGTGGAGATTCCTTAAAAAAACTGGAAATATAACTGCCATATGACCCAGCAATCCCACTCCTGGGCATGCACACTGAGGAAACCAGATCTGAAAGAGACATGTGCACCCCAATGTTCATCGCAGCACTGTTTATAATAGCCAGGACATGGAAGCAACCTAGATGCCCATCAGCAGATGAATGGATAAGAAAGCTGTGGTACATATACACAATGGAATATTACTCAGCCATTAAAAAGAATACATTTGAATCAGTTTTAATGAGGTGGATGAAACTGGAGCCCATTATACAGAGCGAAGTAAGCCAGAAAGATAAAGACCAATACAGTATACTAACACATATATATAGAATTTAGAAAGATGGTAACGATAACCCTATATGCAAGACAGAAAAAGAGACACAGATGTATAGAACAGACTTTTGGACTCTATGGGAGAAGGTGGGGGGGGGATGATCTGAGAGAACAGCACTGAAACATGTATATTATCAAGGGTGAAACAGATCACCAGCCCAGGCTGGATGCATGAGATAAGTGCTCAGGGCTGGTGCACTGGGAAGACCCAGAGGGATGGGATGGGGAGGGAGGTGGGAGGGGGGTTCAGGATGGGGAACACATGTAAATCCATGGCTGATTCATGTCAATGTATGGCAAAAACCACTACAATATTGTAAAGTAATTAGCCTCCAACTAATAAAAATAATTGGGAGAAAAATAAATAAATAAAAGCATAGTTCTATAGCCAAAAAAAAAAAACCTCATAACTTAACAAAACTTTAAATAAAGCAATATAAAAGAAAAAAGAAAAAAAGCATGGTGCTTAAGGTAAGCACAGGTCCTGTTGACAGGTAATCTCTGGGTTCAAGTCCCAGTTTTCAGTCTTCACCACTGACTGGCTGTTGATTTTGGTTGATTTACCCCCTGTCAGACTTCAATGTCCTGATCTATAAAATGAATTACAGCACCTACTGCAAAGGGATGTTGGGAGGATTAAAGAACCTTTTCCCTATAAAGCATTTAGCAAAGCACAGGCACATAGAAAGCATGTAATAGAGGGTGGTTATTTTCCTCCAGACCTCACCAATGATGATCTCATTTACAACTGGGAAACATAGAGGCCATTCTTTAAACACTGAGGAGGTGGGGAAAGGACCGGCTGTTTCTTCATCCGCAGGCTTTAATCCCTCACATTAGCAGGGACCCAGGAGAGGCAGGACCTGCTTCCCAGATGACACCCCAGGTCCCCACGTGATCTTGCTCAGCAGCAGGGCCACATGCCACTCGGCCTCTTTCTTTGGGTTCTGTCCCCAGCCCCTACCCCTCCACGTCTCCCTGTTTCAGGATGGGTACACAATTTCTGTGAAGATTTCCTTTTCCTACAGATCACGACCTCATAGGCAGTTTAGCACCACTGCTCATAAGCAATAAAAATAGATTTTGTTCCTTGGCTAAAATGATTAAATGTTAAAATGGTACTTTCTCACACATGTGTTGACTCCACAGATCTTGGGGGCCCGTAACCATTTATCTTTTCTTTAATGTATCATGCCCCATGAAAGAGGGCATTAAAACCACTCTGACAGGGAAATTATATATATGCCTTCCTGCTGCTACTGCACCACTAGTATTTTACCACAAGGTTCAACCCTGAGTGCTGCAGAGAGACCTAGAATTAATGTCTGAATGAGGAGCTGGGGGAGGGAAGAATCAGTCACGATACAGGATATGGATTGAAAATTTCTGCAGTTTCAGCATTAGCTAATTTATACTTATTCTGAGAAGTGCTTCCTTGTCAGGCACCTGGAAGATGAACAGCAGTAAGTGTTCAGTGCCGTAAGTCCTGTCTTGGAGCACTGGCATTTTCCTGGGATGACAGAACGTTAAAGTGATCTGCAGACCCTAACAACATGTTAGGAAAGGACTGATACGATAAGGAACTGAGAATACATTGTGTTGGCGGTCA